TACTTCACATGGATTAGATAACATACGCATGTTATTGATATCATTCAAACTGTGAAGAAAAGTAAGTGGGCTACGACAAGATTCGTCGCTTTAAGGGATGATGGCTGATGGTCAAGTGTGATGATGGAGTGGCTTTCAAGAAATAGGATGCATCTGAGATGACTTACAATAAGGTTGCCACCTATCCAGGGGATGGGCATCTGTGTTTTGATTTGTACCACGATCTGGTGGTAATGTCTGGAACTTCATTACAGTGTATGCAATTTGAACCTATATACTTTATCTATTTTTCGTATTATTTTTTTGCCTTCCTTTCCTAAACAGGTAGCCCCAGATTAACGCGAGTCCGTTCAAGCACGAATCTGTTTTTACACGATGTACAAAGTGGGGACAGACCCCGATTAACGCGCTCGATTTAACGCGATTTCACACTATTTCAGTGGAATTTTCCAGACGCGGAATTTTCTGCCACGGTCCCACGTAGAGAAACAGTGCCCAAGCGTGAGAAGGCAGCACGAGCATCGTGGGCAGTGGGCAGCAGCAGCGAGCCACCCCACTCAGTCTTTGTTCCGCCTCGTGCTAGCTCAGACGCGTTGCGCGTTTTATCTCACAAGTATATACCTTTGCACTTTAATATCTAAAATTGTGTATTCATAATGCGTGGTATAGATAAGAAGCATGGTGGTGTTGCTTCTAGCGGTGGTCCAAGTAAAAAAAGTAGAAAAGTGGTAACATTGGAGCAAAAATTTGATGTGCTTAAGCGCTATGAGAACGAGTGCGCACGTGATATTGTCTGTGCTTGAACATTCTAAATGTGATATTTGTGTACAAAAGTGTTAGAAGTTGTTGAAAGTGTAAAAAATCGTATCGGTGAAATTCACCCCTTCTGCACTAATCAATTTTCTAAACGTATATTATCTGTCTCTCCACTGCACCCATTACAGCTCATATACGCAGACTGCAGTATTGTTTCCTTTAGGTTACTTTATAATTCTTTAATTTCTTTTAGAATGTTTTTCATGCATGAAACATACATTAAAAGGCAACAATAAAAAGCATTAACCAAAATATAGTCTTAATAAACGAGTAATAATTCTAAATTTTCTTGGTTCTTTCGGTAAAGTCACATAGAAGGGAAGTAATACAATAATAAAAATAAAACATAATACAAATTCTGACGACGTTTTATTATGTTTTATTTTTATTATTTTATTACTTCCCTTCTACGTGACATTACCGAAAAAAACAAAAATATGAATCCCTGCAGTCACGAAGGCTTTAAATCGAAAAATTAAACATTTCTCGATCGAGTTGGGGGTTTGGAATGCAACCCCACCTATTTACATGATTTCTTATGGGAATTTGTGTTAGATTTACACGATTTCACCTTTCACGAAGATTTTCAAGAACGCATCTAACGTGTCAATCAGGGACTATCTATACTTTTCATTCGGATTGTTTTTTTGTATTGTTTGTTGTTGTAACTTTTTAACCCTCTCTGACTGGACATCTGTGAAAAAGAGCTTCATAACCCAGATTTCTCCAGGATAAAAATTCTGATGTATGCCAGTATACCGTACAGTTGTGATAGACCCAGGCCAACTGAGAAATGTGTCCACGTTTGGTCTGTGGAAAAGGTGGTAAATATAACCTACACCGAGGAAATATACACCAGCTGATGGTATCAGCTGGTGTACAGGAGCTAAGCGTATTTATTATACATGGCAGGACCATGATAGCATGGGAATAACTTCATCTAATCGTGGATTGACCAAGGTGACGATGTCGAAATCGATCCTCTGCCACATTTGGTTTCCTGGATAGTGTTGGAGCCGTCATTGAGTGCACCTCACTGAGTGCACCTCATTGGTCAACCAGGACCTCATCTCTATGAAGGGGATATCTTCTTTAAATCAAGGTTACTAAGCACATGAGGCACAAAGACCCAAATTGCCAAACAGCCTGGAACAAGCAGCACTATAGGTGTAAAAATAGATAAGAGGTAACGCATTTCTTGAGTTGATCAAGGCTAACATAAGAGCTTGAGAAATAGACAAAAAGACAAAAAAACTCAACAGTCGTCAGTAACATTGCCTTAAAAATAAACGCATTATTTCATGTGATCACTTTTTTGTTGTTTTGCACTTTCTGCTTTTGTACCGTTTCTGGTAGTAGTAGGGTTCTTATTTGATTGGTAGTGGCTCTATATGGGATTTGGTCCTTATATATAATTAATGTACAGCGTTATGGGATGCCATTAGCATGAATGACACTATATAAAATACAGTATTATTATATACCATCATTGTAGGGTGAGCGAAATGAAACGGAGACTGACGAAATTTGGTGAGAGATCATTGCTGTGCACTTTTTGGCTTGATATTTAGGCGTTAGGCTATTATATTGTTGCCAAAATAATAATGTTGTGTCATGCATTTTATATATATGTAGTTTTGTATAGAACTAGGACCCATATTTAACGAAGACGGTACTTGCCTATGAACATCTGTCAATTCACCAGCATTGGTTTAAGCAAGCCTGTGATTTATCTATGGTCCATTAATCGTTTTGTCTCTTAGGACGTTAATCTATTGCAAAAATCAGTCTCCTTCATAAACTAGATTTCAAAATCTATATCAATATAAAATGTGTGTAAAACAAGTATGGCAAACTAAATAAAATATTTCGCGAGACACGACTAAAAACACTTGAGAAAATGTACTCCGAGGGCAACTAATGAAGGTGGATTGGGATACAAATAATGAAACGAGTGAACAAAGCAGAATGAAATGCTTTTGGGAAAACTGAATTTGATCGAAAAAACAACAGCACAGTGCCTGATCCAAGGTTTAATTCAGTGCACAATACAGACAATGACCTGGGTTAGAAGTAGAGGCCGACCGAAACTGAATTTCTGGTTTCGGCCGAAACCGAAACCAGACCGAAAATAAAAAATTAGCTTTTGGCCGAAACCAAAGCCGAAACCGAAAGTTTAACTACACTTTCAACCGAGACCGAAACAGAAAGGTATATAACCGAAGTTCCTGAACACAAGATTTATGAAATATATCATGATGCAATGCTACTTTCATTAAAAAGAAATCTAGAACTAATCATTCAGAGCCTGCAGTAAGACTCACTAATTATCAAATCTTTAGGTGTTACTTAGTAATTATATCCAAACAAACGAATGTTGTAGTTAAGAAACAACAGTTTTTCCGCATTCAGCCAGACAGGCTGCCATCTGTTGACCGGTCGTATATACATTAGCAGACCATGGTTGCGGCTGTAACCTCGCTCCCAAGCTGCTGCTGACGTGTGTGTGTTTGCAGCTTATCACATAGGATTGCCTAGCGCCGACTGACCGGCCGATAGGCAGAGGGATAAACGTAGCACTAGCGTTATATTCTAATAAGTATAACCCATAAAAACAAAGTTTTTCACTCTAAATCCTTTATTTGCGTGGCGGCTAGAGTCCTCTCGTCCTCTGGCTTGAGATGGCTGCCACCTATGGGTCAGATGATTGTCTGCAGTATTAAACAATTGGTAATTAAATATTTAATTTGTTTTCCCTAAACAGTGTAAAATTTTTGAAAAAAAAATTCCCGAACATTAATTGTCTCGCACAACGGATCACGGGAAGTGGGTTTAAAAACGACCGAAAGGTTTGCACGGTCGTAAGCAAGCAAGCAAGCGAACTTAATATAAAGGATTTAAAAATAGATCTTCGGTTGACGAATGACGACCGAAAGTCAATATCAGTTTTGGCCGAAACCAGACCGAAAGTTAAAATTGACTATCGGCCGAAACTGAAAGTATGCCGAAAGAGGCCATTTGCCAACTTTCGGCACCGAAACCAAAACCGGCCTCTAGTTAGAAGCAAGGGCATTTCTAAATAAGAGGGCGCTAAAGCTGAATAGTGGGCTTAAAGTGATGCATGCTGGGAATTGCACGAGATGGAAAAAGGAACGTGGGGTAAAAAAAGACAAATTGGAGACGCCACGTCGACTGTTAAGTCAGTGGGCTGGAACAATTCAGATCACTCGAAGGGACGATGGCTGATGGACGAGACTGGTGATGGAATGGCAGCCAAAGGGGTAAACGCGCCAAATAGAATTGGTGGTACACCGGTCCCCAAAAAAAAGTATAAAATCTAAATTGTAATCAGCAAATCTGTTTTAACAGTGTTTAACTGACCCTGTCACCAAGTTTGATGCGATTCAAATGTTTATTCAGTTTACTAAGATTTTCTAACAAAAAAAGGTGACCATTGATCATTGATTTTGGATCCGTTGAATTGAGGAATCGTCCGACAAAGTCTAGGGCACGAGGAGTCAAATCTGCCCTTGCAATACGGAGCCAGCCAATCGTCATCAGGTTGGGTGCTACTTCACGGCAGCAGACTGTGAAGCTTCGTGTTCAACTCCTCATAACATTCGTCTTCCGACTGCTTCGACATCACGAAAACTGATTTTGACGCACCACCTCGCAAGATTTCCTGACCAGTGTTGCGAATATCAGGAAAAGAAACAAAAAAAATATGCTTGCAAAAATGTGTAAAATATACCGTGCACTTGTGTACTGCCAATACGTTCAAATGTACATTTTATGTAGTCGAAATGTGTTAATGCATTAACAAAAAATGAAGTGCGCATAATCCTGACATTGAGCCAGTTAAAACGCTCTTCAATCACAGTTGTTTGACTTTTTTTTATAAAATGTTACTGAATTTAAAACTGCAACACTGGAAAGTTTGCATCACAAAATGGAAAAAAAGACTGCGGTTAGCTTTATCAAAGTTTCCATGGGCTTATAAAATGCCACACGAATTAGCATCAGTCGCTTTATCTCGAGTCAACAACGGCCACCTGCCGGGCGGTCCCGGTGCTGGTAGCGAACGGTGCGGAGTTTGGGGGTGGGGGCGGTCCGCGTGTGGAGGAGTCGTGGGCTGCGCTGTTCGCACGCGGCTAACAGAAGCTGCCAGTTGTTCTCACTTCGTCTCGGCTCCTCCAAGGTGAGAGCCTCGCCACTCACCCCGTTCCCTACTCTTGACGTCCACCGTCGTCAACGCACTCGTTTGTTGTCGTTGTGCTCTCATCGTGTCGACGATTGCAGGTAGCAGGTGAGCTTTGTGAATTGTGTTGTCGCGGTATTTGCTTGTTCTTGTTAAGCTATGCATTTTGCCTGCACAGTACGATCCCGCAGGTTTGGTGGTATCGTGAATGCTTAAACGCCCTTCATATATCGCCTTAACCAAGGCGTGGAACATAGATATATTAATTTGTACAGCAGAATACTGCGGTGAGATGAGTTGGTGAGGATGGTAGTTGGCAAGAGGGATAGAGTCAGTGACGGGTAAGGAGAGTTTGGGTAAGCGAAGGATAATCAGTGAGGGATTTAAGGGAAGAATGATTGATTCGTGAGTGAGGCTGATTGTTTGACGTGGAGGGGCAGTTTGTTCCAGTGTAATGATGACGATCGCTTGTGTTGTGATCGAAACGTCATAGTTCTTTGTTTCTTTTATATTTATTACTTTTATTAATTTGTACCTATCTGTGACTTTACCGAAAGACCCATAGAATATGAAAGGGAATGATGATTGGGCACAGGGAGGAGGGGGAACAGAGACAGCTGGGATTGTGAACGGAGAGGGCGAGGAGTGTAGAATGAAACGAGGGAAGCGAGATACGCTGGGGCGAGACCATGGAGAGATTTGTAAACGAGGACGAGGGATTTGAAAAGGCAACGATAATAGACGGGAAGCCAGTGTAGTTGGACGAGGAGAGGTGATGTACTGGTAATCTATGATAAAAAAAGCTTCAAAGCTCATCGGATTCCTCCAGGATAAATAAAGATTCTGATTCTGATGTGTGGGAGTGGTAGGGGAAATTAAAGATGATCCGGGCAGCGGAATTTTATATTTGTTAATGTGGTTTAAATGCGTAGGCAGGAAGACCGAGCATGAGGGAGTTGCAGTAATCGAGTCGAGTGAAGATGAGGTCGTGAATTAGAAGTTGTACCGCCGTAGTTGAGATGAGGGGGTGGACTTTGCGATAGTTTTACAGGTGAAAGCGGCAGGAACGGGTAGTGGCAGATAATGTGATCGGATAGATGGAGAGAGAAAGAGAGGAGTCAAAGATGACGCCAAGATTACGGCCAGACGATACAGGGGTAAGGGAGACAAGATTAAAGGAGATAGTAGGACAGGGAAGCAGGGAAGAAAATAAGTTAAGTTTTCGAAGGATTGCTGGAGAGGAAGTGCTGGGACATCCAAGACTGGATCAGGCAGGTAGAAATGTGAGAACCAAGGGCGGGAATGATAGACGGCAAGGCTGAACAAAATATTAGCGTCATCAGCAAATAAATGATGGCGAACATTGAATGATGGGAGAAGGGAATCGAATGGAGAGACGTAGAGACAGAAAAGGCAGCAGATCACCTTGGGGGACACCAACAGTGACGGGGGGGGGGGGGGGTTGGGGAGAGGTGATGTGGTTTGATGACATTGGTTGAGGTGCATCAGGGGAGATAGGAGTGAAACCAGGAAAGATGGATACCCGAGATACCGAGAGAGGACAGGGTAGAGGAGAGAGGGGGATGGTCAACTGTAGAATGAGAATAGAAGACTGACATCAGCAGAGTTTTGACAAATGGTTCTGACAAATACCGCCAGTAGGGCCATTTTCATGGAATACAAGGGACATAACCTGGATTTGAATTGTGGGTATAGAGAGTAAGAAGAAATGTACTGAGTGATGCGGGAGTGGACCAGTCATTCAATAAGTTTAGAAAAGAAGGGGAGAAGGGAAATAGGCCGATCGTTCTCAGGGCAAGAAGTATCCAGAGATAGTTGTTTTAAGAGCGGAGCAATGATGGCAGTTTTGATATCTACAGGGAAAGGGAGGAATTGAAGAGGGTAACGAGGTAGGGGAGAATCAGAGGGAGGAGATGGGGTATGAGGAAGAAGCGGATAGGGCCTAGTGGACAGGAAGTAGGGTGGGCTTTAGAGACTATGGAGGATAGTTCAGAAGTGATGGTTGGAGTAAAATACGAGAAAGTAGAGTCGGATTAAGGTGCATGGGGGGAAAAGATTGAAGAATAAGACAGTGGGGAAGGGAGACGGAAAAGAGGAAAGTATGAAGTCGGTTTTGGAAGTGAAAAAGTTATCAAAATCAATTGCGGAAGGGACAGACGATACCGGGAATAAACAGGAAAGTGGTGAAGGTTGTTGAGAGTTTTAAAAAGTTGACATGGATGGGGAGCGAGAAAAGAGATGAGGGCTCGGAAATACTCTTATTTGGCTTGTTGAGGGCTCGGAAATAATCTTATTTGGCTTGTTGTAAGTCGGATAAAACGTGGGATAGGAGCGAATGATACGAAGCCAGGTTGTTGGATAAGCGAGCCGATTTCAGAATCCTTTCTGCTTTGCGCAAGAGCCGTCGTTTTCACTGGGGGAGGGGAGGGATTGATCTAGGGTTGACGAGGCTTGCGTGAAAGAGGACCGAGGGAAAAGGGGAGCCAGGGAATCAGGGAGAAAGAAAATGCATAGGAGAGGGTGGTGGATGCCTGTGGATGCTGAGTTTGTATGAAGGGAACTGAAGCCAGATATAACGAGCAGAAGAGAAGAAGCGCTAGAGATTAGAGAACTTGTTGAGAGGCAGTTGGGATTACGATAGAGGATTGGATGGGCAGGGCTGGGGGGAGAGTGACATGGGGGGGGGGGGGGGGCAGAGGGAAGAGAGATGGTGAGATAAAGAAGAAGTGAACGGAAGAGGGACAAGGGGATGCAGTGGTAGGGGATGCTTGATAACCGGCGGTGAAAATGGGGTCAAGAAAATTATCATAGGAATGAGTAGGGGTAGATGAAAGGTGGAGATTGAGTGAATTGACAAGGGGGAGGAAGGAAGCAATAAGGAGAGCGCTGAGATTAGGATTACAATCACCCAGAAGAGTGAATGGGTGGGGTAGTTGAGGGAAGGAGGAAAAATGCATTCGAGATTATCAATGAACAAAGAAGATGGACCAGGAAGATGATAGATGATAAGCAGAGAGATGGAATGAGGGAAACGAATGAAGGGAATTGAGATGGAAGGGGAGGAGGTGAATGGGGGGGGAGAGTGGAGGAGCCAAATAGGACGAGTGAGGAGACCAATACCACAACCGCCTTTTGCAGCTAGCCGAGGTGTGTGGACAAATGTGGAGGAGGAGGTGGTTAGAGCGGCAGGAGTGGCAACATTGAGTGGAAATATCCAGGTTTCGCTGAGTGCAAGAGCGTCGAGGTGGAAGGCGTCAAGGGTCGAGGCGGATTTATTAGAGATAGAACGGCCATTCCACCGTCCTATTTTGATATGGCAGTCAGGACGGTCTGGGTGGGAAGTGGCTGGAAAGTGGCGAGTGGGGGAGAATTCGGTTGTTGGTGAGATGTAGATGACATTGGGGTGGCTGGGTTTAGAGTGCTTAATTGGCGTCGAGTAGGTAGAGTGGGCGGGTGAGGGAGGGGATGGGATAGACAGGTAGGGGTCGTTGACTCGTGGCTCATGGATGAGGTGTCTATGGTGGAGATGGTAGATTGTAAATGCGAGGCGGTGATGATGACACTCCAGGAACGACTTCTGCTGCCCCTGCATCCACGCGGACGAGGGCAGCGGTGGGGAAGGGACGAATAAGGATGAGCTATTCTTGTGACTGATATTGGCTTCAGCCTCGAAGCGTCGAATGCATTCGTGTGTCAAGGGAGATGAGTTTGGGTTAAACAGGTAAAGGTGCAGTCCTGCAATTGCTCGCTCAAGCCACTGCTGTGGGAAGGGCATCCCACTAGGAGATCTAGAGAGTATTTGGTCTACTCTTCCACGCTGACCACACGTGTTGGAAGAGGTGGGCGTACCCACAATTTACCCCACCACACGCAACCTGTCAATCACTCACTGTCGTGTGCCCATTTATACTGCCAGATAAACAGAGGCAGAAGATATTTAAGAAAATGTCCCCATTGTTTCAAGTAGGCGCCACGGTGGTGAGATGTTAACTTCCTCGCCTGACCCTGACACCTGCTCATTATTTGGAGTTTGCGTGTCTCTCTCCCAGTGTTCGCATGGATTTTTCTCCGGGTCCTCCGGGTTTTCTCTCCACATTTAGAAACATGCATTTAGATTATTTGGCTGCTATAAATGTCCACATGGTAAGCCAGTTTGCTGAGTTATAATTCGTGGCCAGGTCGCTTCTAAAAAACAGCTATAGAGCTCAGTGGGCCTTACCTGCTAAATAGAGATGGAATCGAACCAGCGACCTCTAAGATCGCAAGTCCAGTGCGCTCTCTATTGAAGTCACCTCGTGGCTAGCGGACTTCGCCATTGGCATTTAGCTCGTGAACAAATTGCCATTATGCGCAAGAATAGAAGAAAGTGCTGCCCATGACACCACTGTGGCTGCCCTGACCCAGGGACCCATCGCGATATTAAACCATGCTGTCTGGATAAGAGCAGCTGATGGAGGCATTTGCAGGAATAAAAAGAAAAAATACTCTAAAATCAATTAATAATTAATCATTATAATCATATAGGATAACTGTAAATGTGTATGAGGAAGGTTTGTTGTAATATTCATTACATGTCAATGTATTGTTTATTTCAATACTGTATTAACGTAATGTGCGTTACTGCTGCTACCATGCGTTTAGAGTATGTGGCTACTATAAATGTCCACGTGATAAGGCACTTCGTCCAGCTATCATTTGTGGCCAGATCGCTTCTCAAATAAGAGCTATATGGTTTAGTGGGACTTACCTGGTTAAATAAAAAAAAATGTTGAGTTTTAAACAGTTGTGTTATTTGAATTTAACTAATGTGCGTTTCTACTGTTATCCGTACGTTAATTAATTAAATATAAATTTGTTGTGTTGACGTTATTTAAAAAACGTCACTTGATTTCTTTTCAGATTCATGAAATATGTTGTTCCTGGGATATGCTGCACTTGTGGCGTTTGTGTTAATTTCAAAAGGTAAGTTTGTGCTTCCATACTTGCGTTTTAAGTTGGATGGTTTTTAAAACGAATGCATAACATCTAATGGATGACACCGTGTGGATCGTTGCAAATAATTTAATTTCACGTGCAACAGCATTAATGTGTGTGTGTGTTGTCTGTGTCCTGGCGTGGTCTAGCTTTGAGTTTGACCTGCGTCACCTCCCATGTAGATGTCCTTCTCAAGGCATTGTGGCTCCTCTCGCAAGAGATGCAGAGCCACTTCAGGACTTGTCATTGTACAGAATGACTTGAGATTCAATGATATTGGACATCGCTATTGATTAGGACATCGCCATTGTCTAAATCAAGGATGCACAACTAAATCATTACTCGATCCACTTTCGTCTTCGTAGTCTTGAACATTTTCTTCATCATTTCCATCGCCATCGAGAGAAGGATGTTTCCAGTACCTGGTGTCATATTTGCAGAAAAGATAAATCTCCTGGACCGGATGGAATAACTTGACGCCATCAAAGAAGCAGCGAAATTAGCAGAGACCTGCTTACGAGAGATTTCCAGGCAGTCCTCGACTTACGAACTGGTTCTGTTCCTGAGACCCGTTCGCAAGTCGTAACAAAATAACATACTGTATTTAAATACACATACGGCCAGTTATAAAAATGATATATGGTTCAACAAAAAAGGGAAGCATTGTTAAACTCATAAACAATAAGGTGTACATTTCCATGTAATGCTGTAAAGAATATGGATAGCAAATTAAATATAAAATAAAGTAACAGAAATAGAACAAATCTTTTTCATATTCACTTACCGTGAGTCCTGATGCTGACTTGCTTGTCGGAAGGGGCGCAATGAGTCACGCACACCCAACAAAGATCCCCTGTGTAGCCTTCACAGGCTGTTGGGGCAAGTGCTGTTAGCGAGCAGCGCCTATGAAGGCCGGGTGGCCAGCACCACGCCCGGACGCCTTTGACTCCCCAGTGGCGATGTTTACACACCGCACCAGGTACTCGTTTGAGGCTGAGTCGACCTAGGGGAGGCCCAGGACGCATTCAAATAATCGTCACTGGTGTTGGTTGTGAGAGCGGGAATCGAACTCGGGTAGCCGGGTTTGTAGTGCAGCGTGATAACTATTGCACTACTGCTCCACACACAAGCATGAGGTGAGGGTGACACGCACAAAAAAAGACAAAGATCCCCCTTATAGCCTTTACAGACTGTTGGGGAAAGTGCTGTTAGCGAGCACCTATGAAGGCCGGCACGGCACACGAGGGGGTCAGTGGCCAACTCCACGCCCGACCGCCTTTGTCTTCCCAGTGGCGATGTTTTCACACACCACACCAGGTACTCATTTAGGGCTGAGTCGACCTAGGGGAGGCCCAGGACCGGTTCAGATAATCGTTACTGGTGTTCGTGGCCGTGAGCGGGAATCGAACTCGGGTGGCCGGGTTCGAAGCGTAGTGCGCTAACTGCTACGCTACCGCTCCCCACACACGCGCACGCACACACACACAACCACACACACACCGCGCAAGGCTGACTCATTACATCTCACGGAGGATCGCTCCGCTGGACAAAATAGTTCCGCGGTTCAGTTTGCAAGTGGGATTTAGCGTTTTGAGTCGATGTTACGGAACCTGGTTCGTAAGTGCGGATGTACGTAAGGCAGGGTATTCGCAAGTCGAATACTACATGTACACATACATGTAATGCCTCAAGAATAGAATGATGCCCAAATTATTATTCCATTTGGAAATGGAGAGAGACAAAATAATTTGAAGAATTACAGGCCCAGTGTCGTCCTCACACACACATAAAAATTGTTCACCAATATCATGGGGAACAAAATAATGGACAACGTTGAGGCCAACCAATTACTGCAGCAATCCAATTAGGGAAACCTGTTTCTACTCTCGACCACATACATCCTGGCAATCGGATTCTGTGAAAGACTTGAATATCAAAAACCACGATGCCTGGCCTTCACAAATTACGAAAAGGCAATCGGTGCAGTGGAAATTGATGCATTCATCACAAACTCAATAAGAAATGTTTATAAATGCTAAAAGCCATTTAGAAGGATCGCGGTCGTCAGACGAATTGTAACCTGAATGGTCACCGTCATGCGCTGGATGGGATTATGCCATGGCAGGACTGCTGAAACGGTGTTAATGTACAACTATAAATGTAATAATGATGGCTTTGTATAATATTTAAATTGGCAAAAAAAACACGTGCAAAGCCATTTTTTACTCCAGCGATGGAGATTTTAATCACCATAAACCTTACTGGATATCTACATTGGTTTCTCTTACACATCTATTTCCTTTTAAGCCTTTCAACAAAACTCTTGATAAGCACTCTCCCTGGAATGATTGATAAACGCATCCCTTTAAAGCTGCACGACACTTATGCCCCCTTTGCTTTATGACGACCTCTCCCGACTCGGCAACATTGTTAAGCAGTTCCTCTAACGCAGTGGTTCTTCACCTTTACTGCAGCCTTGCACCCCTTTGGTTCTCAATCGTACAAAAATATAAGGTTAATAAGTACATAGTTTGATGATATACGTATGTGACCGTGCTTAATTTGTGTTTTCGATTATTTATCTGGCCATGCCTCGCACCCAGAGAAAGGGCATCTCGCACCCCTGGCGGTGCGTGCACCCCAGGTTAAGAAGAACCACTGCACTCACGTCTGTCAAACCTCTGCACTAAATATATCGACACTCGTACCGCAACCACTTACTCTGTCTTCACAGGTTTTTACTGCCCTTTATATTTTCTTTTAAATTTACTTTTCCGCCGATGCCCGATACTTCTCAACGGCAAAGGGTCAACAAGTTGCAGACACAGCCTCCTCCGCCTAGATAATAATATGATAGATTGGTAATCACGCTATTCTTATAGCGGCAAGGCTATCACGAAGTAAGTCGCTATGTTTCACAGACATAGCAGTCGTTTGGCTGCAACGGGCGATGTCGCTATGTGTCATCCCAGTTGAGTGACCTGCGGGTAACTTTTCGAAATTGACAACATTTGAACGATGAAGCCCGCACATAATATACCTCATCTCGAGTGACGTCACGTGTCTCCCGACTCCCTTTGCAGTCGGGGTGGTGGTGCTCGCTTCTTTTTGGCTGCTCCGCCCGAGCCACTGGTGTAAATTACACATTCCCAGGGCCCCCAGTAAATCCGGAGACGAAGCCCCAGTGAAGACGTAACACGAAATCGCGCAGTAACCTTCAATATTCTCGCCGTAGTTGTACAAATTGATCACATTGCACGGTGTGGGCCTCTACTCTTAAGTTACTTCCTGCCATCAGGAATGTTTTAATAACCAGGATCAATACCACACAATAAGTGTGTGTCGCGGCACGCAAATGAGCAGCCCTTTTGAGACCTGGTGCAGCCAGCGGTGTACTGCACGGCACCGCAAATTGAGAATGACGTTTAGTAATATAATTTGCCGACATTATTGTGGCACTGTGTGTCCACTCATATTGCACATGTCACGTGCAACTTTTCTTATTTAACTGTCAAGTCTGGTTAATAACATCACGTAATTGCAGATCTACCGATAAGATTAATATGCACATCAGTTGCGTTTGTTATCGCATAAGCTGGAAATGTTACGGCGATTTCACATTGCACTCTCATTCACAATCACTCCACACGATCCCGTTTATAGCGAAAATTGAGCTAATAATTGTGCATTTGATTTTTCTTCGGACAGAGCACTAAATAAATACATGTACACGTGTACATTTAAAAAAATGTACGATGTTAAAAAAATTATTATATAAGCTTAAACATCAACATGGTTCAGATGTGGCTCACAAAACTTCCTAATGGTAAAGTGGTCCCAATATTGCAAGCTTTTAGAGCCCGACATTAATAATAATACATGCTAAATGTATTTTCTCTGCTAAACATCAATAAAATACCAGTTTTTCGATCGCCACCCATTCGATCCACCACTGATATCCGCGTTTTGACTCGATTCTGTCAAGATAACGAATGTGGTTTTTGCTTCTTTCCCCAACCCTTGCTCCCCCCGACTGTCCCCTTATCTGTCTCTCCACCCCCACCCCCTGTCCCGCCACTCCTAGGCACCGCAAACGAAACCCGGGACATATATGTGACTGAAGGAGATCAGGTTGTGCTGCCCTGTGGTGTTGATGATGGCTCCTTGAAGAGGTGACGCGGAGGAGAGTCGTGGTGTACGATACACGGACGGTGACACGGAGCAAAACGACTTCAGAGCGACTGCATGGACACCGGATAATGCGATTTTGGATATTTGGTGGTGAGCGTGTGGGTGAGACCGCGTGATCCTCGTTTGCATGGCCAACACCTTTCTCGCTGCTGATACCCACGATACTCGTGGAAGATGCTGGGATATACTTCTGCCTGGTAAATAGTAACCAACTCCAACTCATGCAAAAACTAGAATTTCAACTCATCATAAGGGAAAAAGGTAAACATCAGTGGTAACCGGTCTAGCAAACACTAAAATAAGTTTTAACAATGGCTAATTATTAACTGTAATTGCGAATAATGTTCTCTCTATTGCATTTAAAAAAGTATTTGTCGCATGTGCTGCTGACAATAGACATTGCGTTACACGATGCTAGTAATTCGAATGTATTAGATATACTGTAGAATACTCATGTATACAGGAGTGTAAATGTGGATTTAAAAAAATCTGAAATATTAAGACTCAATTATTAAAATGTAACTATTTTCTAGATTTGTTTTTGATACAAAACATTTCACAAGAGTTTACACATACAATATTTAAAATGAGTGACATACGTTCGGTTGGCCAAAGTCTTTCATAACTTTTGTTCACGTGACAATACACTTTAAACTCTTCAGTGCCTCATCTGTTGACTTAGAATGATGAGGGTGGTGTGGAGTCACACGATCAGAGCGGCCTTCATTGTTCCGAGCTCAGTGGTGTCTTTAATGTTGTGACTAACGCTCACAGGGACCGAAACAGTTGGAAATGTCACCACGAATCCATCAAGATGCATCTCAGAGGTGGCCAGCTCAGGTCCTTCTGGCTGTGAGAACTCAAACACAACTCAAGGCACTGATCTTGACAACACATTGAGGCAATACAAGATGCTATTTTTAATCTCTCTTGCAATGATGGCTGTTTTGATAACAGTGTTGGTCGTGGTAATCTTCCAACTGGTCAAGAAAAAAAATGGTAAGGAAAACTATTACATTGGCATCACTATAAGTAGTCAGTGGTTGGTGACTATATATATATACAATATATACACATTGTAGCATAATTATGCACCTAAAATGTATGTTATAGGTAGTAGCGTGATTATCATGCTTGACAGAGAGACGATTGTTGTGGGGATTGGACCCAGGATGATGGAGCACGTTTGTTAATGTGGAATTGATGTTCGTGAAGTACGACATTCGGGGAGACTGGTGAGAGAATTGGGAGTACAAGTAGCAGAGATTTAGCAGAGAGAAATATCCATCTTCAATGTATAACCCAATTCCGTCCCAGTGTGCGGGCTTATCTTTTACTCCAATCGTAAATCCTCCTTTGCTCAAGGTTGCTCTGACCAGCTCTATGGCACCGTAATGCCACCAAAGTGATAATTTATTGTGTGCATCGGCAATAACACAATTGTTGGGGAATGTACATGAATATAATTACTTAAAAAAAGTTAAATCACACACCCCCCCAAAAAGTTACTTGTTACCAAAATATTGCTTTCAATTTGCAGTACTGAAACATTACAAAAATAAATAAGTCTGTTGCCCAAGCACACTAGAACCCTCTGCTTGGTTTAGATATGTGGATGACACATTGGTGGTCTGGCCACACGGCAAAGATACACTTAACGAAATTCTAAATCATCTCAACTCGCAAAACCCATCCATCCAGTTCACCATGGAAGTGGAAGCTTACATAACTCTACCATTGCTGGATATGTGTGTTATTTTACCAGTTTAAAAGGAAATTTTACCTAAAAAAAAAGGTTATGAGTTCAAGTGCTGTTTGAAGTTGATTCGTGCTACCGGTCTCCTGAGCACCGGTCTGTAGTGTTAACAGTGGTTCTATCAAGCGCCTCACCACCTCCATATGGACGTGGGATTTCCACTGCTAGCTTTGCAGCTCGTAGGGATTTGTGGTCAGTTTGCTTTTGACCAATTTCTGAGCAAAGGGGCAAATTCTGTTTGTATCTGGTGTGGATTCTTGGATTCTTGATAAAAGATACAGTTGACTCTGCATAATCACACATCGATTACAAAAATAATTCAATTCACGAATCGACAAGGCCATGGATGGAACTTGTTATTAAAGCATCGTCATCCACTGCCTGCTTCACGAAAGGAGGCCGCAAATGTAAAAAAAAAACCTGCACGTTTAATTGTTCAGAGAAAACCAAAAGTACTTAACATTGCTCTGAATGTTCTCAAAACAGAATGCCTGTCATTGATATCGAAACTGCAAGGACTCGGCAAGCTCTCTGCGCAGGAACACGCTTCGGTGAGTGCGACTTCTGCCCTGAACACAGATGCTGACCACAGGCCCAGAGGCCACCACCGCCGCAGAATCGCATTCCATGCCGCTCTGCACCACACAAACCCAGGGGACAGCTGCACCCGGGGGCCCGCCCCAACATTCCCAAATAACTTCCATCTGCGCCTTGTCACTTCCCCTTCATCACCGTGTACATCTGTCTCAACCTTAACGGATTCCATACATGTCCTATCAATGGCTCTCTGACCCTACCTCTAGCAGATCCCCAACGATGTCATAGTGGAGGGGCGTCACAATCGATGAGCACTCTGCGCCATGCCTACGATGTAAGTGTGTGGCAGAGTTCATTCATTTATTCATTGTTCTGTCCGTAGACAGGTCTAAGGCACAATTATGTCCTCTACGTTCCTCTATCTTATGCTGCTGTCTTTATCTGTCCCTACGTCCTTCCTTCCTTCTTGAACATTATCAAGCATCCTCATTATTTTCCTTCCTCTTTGTATTTTCCCAAAGACTCTTCCCTCTTTATCTCGGCGGAATGACGCCAGCCGACCCTCTAATGGCAGATGACGGAGATGACGGAGATAGCATTTATCTCATACCCGGTGGAATTGACGCATATAGCTCGTACACACTCGTATAAGCTGTAGGTACGTGCGTGTATGCGTCCATGCATTTACAAAGATGCAGCAAAGAAGCGGCTGAGTTATTGAGTCACACAGAAACAGGATTCACGAATAAGGGGACGATAGAAAATAGTTTGACTGACAATGGGAAACTACAGATAGAATTACACGTATTGGTGCTATCTTGTGGTTTATGTACGTTGTAAGGAATGTAATAGCGGGGAGACTGCAGTCACACCTGCTGTCGTAACGGTTTTGAGCAGCCAAGTGGGATCTGTGTGTGTGTGTGACGGCTGTAACCGCACGCGGTGTTACTTGTCTCCTCCTGTGCCAGGATGCAGGAGAGGAGCCCCATTACTGCCCACTCCGGGGGAAAGGGCACAACTCCGAGATCTACACTCATCTGCCTGGGCAATCATAATGCGCTTACACACACACACATACTGCTATCTATATCATCATCATTTTTATGACGTTTGTTTATGCAATAAAGCCTCACTGCGTACCAGGACTCTTGTTCGGTATGATCCTGCCAAGCTTACGGAGTAGGGAGCAAGTTTTGTTTATGTGGGTCATTTGTAGGCCATTCTTCAGCATTGGGATGTTTGCCCAATACAAGTTACATTGCGTGCCTTTAGCTATTGGCAGGAAACCCACGCAGAACAGGGGGAGAACATACCAACTCCACACAGAAAGGTGCCCGAGATGGGAATCGAACCAAGACCCTTCTTGCTGTTAGACACAAGTGTTACCACTGTGCGTAACACCATGCCACCCAAAAATGAATAAAAGTTTAATTCTTGTACATTGTTACTTAAGTGTAGCGGGTATAACATGATTTAAAATCTGGTCTTAAAATGTGTAGTGTTTGCAATGAGTTACTGTTAGACAACTTTAATGAGTGCAACTTATAAATGCAGTACCGTATATGCCTACTGTGTCCTTGACGTGTGCTTTTAAAAACACCGTCAACATCCATTTTGGAGGCTTTTATGTCGAAAACGTCTCTGGCACGCATTGCGAGCTTGCACATTTGAGGATAACCGTCAGATATCCGACTCCCTGGGGACTCAGGTTCAGACGGTTGTGTGTGAAGGTCGGATTTGCAAACATCTACAGAATGTGACAGTTTTTCATCGTTCACAGATACTCGCGCTTCATTGCTATAAGCTCACAAACAAATGCATCTGCCGTGATCACTCTGATCATATCACGTTTTTTGATCTGGGGCATCTGTTGTAAATGTATGCATGTTGAACTTCTTTCGCATCGTACGTAGCCGACCGTATAATTATATGTTTCAAACATTGCATACTCTGACTTTCACTTTACTAAATAAACATTGTATTTGTGCTTATTTTGGTGCCGTTTTCACTTGTTTAAATGGTTTACATAAGTTGATTGGTCTATAGGTTGTGTTGTTTTATTCATAAAGCACGTTCCTTCGGAGTGGGCAGGTAGGAACTTGGTTGGACAGCGCATTCGTTCACGCCAGAAAGCTCGCGGTCACGTGACGCACTTCAACCAATCCGGGAGCGTACATGTTTGGGAGGGGCTATGCACGACAGACAAATAATCCCTGGTGGGCAGTGTGGAACTGTTGTTTCTACCTGTAGAACTATTTCATCAAACATGGAAAATGTCTGTGTTCCGTGATGACCACGACTGCATCGAGCAATTCAATGTAATCACAGACAGAGCCCCCATGCACTCTGCCCCAGTCACTGCACGCATAAATCATAGCTGCTGTGAAGGAGACATCATCACAGCGATGATGATTCACCACTCCGCTACTCCTGATGCAATCAGAACCAGAATCTGTATTTAAATTGGAGAAATTCGATGAGCTTTACGGTTCTTGTTCAAAGGTGTCCAGCAGGAGCAGGTCAGAACGTTATAACAACAAACAGTAAAAAACACGATATGAGTGTAAAGTCTAGGGAAGATAAACTAATCACATTAAAACAATATGCAAATAAAAGTCAACTATGCTTTATCTTACCAGCTAAAGCCCACTGAGCTATTAGCTTCTTTTTCAGAAAGGGCATGGCCACAAATGATATGACAACGAAGCGGTTTATTACGTGGACATTCATAGCAGCAAAATAATCGTGCTGGCTCATCAACCACCTCGATGCACAATCACAGCTGTTGCTCTCCATCAACATCAGCCACGCGGAGGAGGAGAAGCGCAATGGCAACTATGGTGGTTGTAGAGAAGCAGCCTGTGGGTCAGCAGCAAGTACAACGAGAGCTGTGAGTGACGCGTGTCTGGCAACAGCTGAGCGGCCACAGCCGCTCTCGCAGCGAGTGGCACAGCTGTCTACCCTACAGGGGTGGGGGCAGATTTGGCACAGGGGGCCGTCCATAAATGACGTCACGCACCTGGGGGGGGGGGGGGTCAGACATTTGTTACGATGTGTGACGAAGGGGGGGGGGGGGGGTTGAGGAATGTGACGTCACATCAAAATTCACAACTTTAAATAAAAATAGTTAACACGTTCTACTTAAATAGACTTTTTAATACATGTTTTCTTCTACAACATCAGAGTGCAGCACCACATTAAATACGCACTACAATGGCAATAATTTAAAGCGATTTGAAGCACGTTTTATTTGGGGGGGGGGGCAGAGCTTTGTGACGTCATATTTGAGGGGGGGTTTGACTTTTTGTGACGCCGTGTGACTAGGGGGGGGGGGGGGGGTAAAAAATCGTCAAAAATCGTGTGACGTCATTTATGGACGGCCCCCAGCCGAGCGACAGCCAACTCCAATTTAAGGCACTTTAGCTGAAGTAGGCGATTCAATAGCCACACACAAATCACGCGCAGGCCAAACACGTGATGTTAAAAAATAAATGCCTCATTCGACACCCAAACATCGCAACATCTCCTAGCTTTTATTTTCCTCCTCGAAGACACCGGTGGAACCATGAACCACATCAGTACATCATCGGGCCTGTGCACACATCTCCTTCATAAATAGAACATTACAGACAAGCCACGGTAGTAGAATTGCGGGCATACAACCCAAACTATGGACCATATCGTAAACCCATAGATACTCATGAAGATAGAAGGAGACGCATAGAGATACACAGAGATACATTAAAGGCAAGCCACAATAGTGCCATTGCGGCCATGTAGCCCATCCTACGGACCATACAGTAAACCCACTGCAGGCCGCGCTCCTCCAATGGAGAATGAGGAACAGCAAAACTACACGGACTCTCTCCCGAAGCCCTCTCGTCGTGGCCAGCAGACCTCGACATTGGCATCCAGCTCCTGAGCATATTGCTGCTGCCATCATACGCAAGAACGTAATATGTGAAACGGTGTATGAAACAGCAAACACAAGAGGAATCTCAGCATAGTTTGAATGTCGTGGTGACTTCATTATTCGCGTGCATATTCTGCACACAGCCGTATAACAACTGCTATATTTTAAGAACCAATTCATGAAAAAAAATTGACAAACATACCACCTGAAACAAATTCAGAATAAAGGGTGATTGTCAAACCATGGTTTGATCCAAACATTTCTGAATTGATGAAACTAAAGATATTGCCTGGAATAATGCAAAAACAACAAACAACCTCCCTGATTGGATTACCTATACAACACTAAGAAAAATATGTACTCGCCAAATAAGAAATGCCAAATGTTCATGTTATCATAAAACTATTCTAAATTCACAACCAAATTCAATACTCTTCTAGCAAACGTTTATTTAAGGAAACTAAAATGTTCTACAAAAAAGCTCTGACCTAATGGCAAAGAACTACTCACAAAACAATTGATTTAATTCTCGTTTAGGATCAGCAGGACATATCTTTGACAAACTCACACCAGAGAAAAAGGTCTACAAATACACGACCGTTCACATCACTCACTTCTTCCTCCTCCCCAAGCACCAACGCTAAACATGTTAGTGAAAGTCTTCGGTTCTACTTCTAGTTTAGTCCCATATCTGCACTTGATGTACCGCATACGCTTGCATCAATTACGACATCGTCATCCACGGGAGAAGACAATTTACCTGCGTTTGTACTTGCGGCTGTGGCAGATCTCACCTGACACACATTTTCAACCTCTCACTCACCGATGGTACATTTCCACTAATGGAAACCCGCTATTATTCATCCAGTATATAAAATGGCTCCAAAGAAGATCCTAATAATTATAGACCAATCTCTATCCTTTCACCAATTACTAAAATATTTGAAAAAATACAAAACTCACTAATAAACTGCTACCTCAAAAGTCACAATCTCATTCACAGAGAAAAGTACTGCACCACCACAGCTATGACGGATTTATGACATTTTCTGTTCAGTAACCGTGATAGAGGCCACTACTGCTGTGCCCTATTATTTGACTTGTCAAAAGCCTTTGACACTATTAACAATATATTCAATTCACAAGACATAGCGATAACATCTCGTCCACAAATAATAAAATAACAAAGGGTCTTCCACAACATTCCGTGTTGAGTTCAATTCTATTCTCCTTACATTTGAACAATCTTGAACTAACCTTAAATCATTGGGATTTAAATATCTTTGCTGATGACACTGTCATGCTTGTGTCAGGTAAATCTCCAAATGAAGTCAAACAGAATCTCCAACACGATTCTGACTTAATTCAATGTTGATTGTTGTCACTAAAACTGCTCCTAAATCCACAAAAAACGAAGATTATGCTATTTTCTTCAATCAAAAAGAATTTTCATTCCCTTCACCTATTACGGATCATGATTCCAAATTTAGATTACAACCCCATATCGATCATATTGATCACATCTTAAATAAAAGAAAATAGAACAGGGTTTTTATACAGAGCATTATTTTCCCATTCGATTTCACCTGCAAATTGTTGAAGTTATAATTCTGCCACTTTTTGACTGCTCTAAGACTATCTACGTGACTTTACCGAAAGAACCAAAGAGTATGAATTCCTGCAGTCACAAAAGCTTCAAATCAAGATTTGTCTAAGACTGTTTATAGATCAGCTACTAATGAAACACTAAAAAGACTAACTCACTTTATCATTCTACTCTTCGATTTACACTGGATATACAATACAGGACCCACCATTGTGATATCTTCTTAAAATTCAATCGCACGTGACTTGAGGCAAGATATCTACATTGGGCCCTGTTTATCCATAACATCCTTACTGGCAAATCTGTGCTATACTTAGTTCATTAACCCTATTGTCAAGGACAAGAATCTTAAGATGTCCATCTAATTACCTTTAAAATATCCCAAGAACAAGAATTGGAATAGATGACAATGCATTTGCAGTTGCAATACCAACGTTTTGGAACAACCTCATTTCCTCCCTTTACATCGCAAATCTTCCTTTAAAAAATCCTGAAGCAGATTAGTGCTAGATACAAATCAAATTTGCAAATTTGACTTGTACCTTTGATCCGTACCCATGTATCGACAGTTCAATGTTAATGTGCAATTTTGAGGAACTGTGTGTTGTTTTGGTGTGGTCTGGGACTGCTCTTACTGTTGTTTAGCTGCTTTGCCCAAGTTTGCAAATTGGTGTACTAATGAAATTTGAACGTATATACTTTATATATATTTAGTTTAGTGATTTGGTTACCTTCCCTAAACTTTGCACTCCTATCGTTTTTTGTATTGTTTGTTGTTGTAACTTTCTCACCCACCCCAACTGCATATCTGAGAAAAAGAGCTTCATAGCTCATCGGATTTCTCCATGATATAATACAGATTCTGATTCTGCGATCTCAAAAGAGCTAACAACATTCTGCCCATTTTCTTTATTTAGTCAGCACAAAGGGGAAAAAACTTTAAAAAACATGCGTGGACTTGTGACCCGTTCCCAATGTCTCGTTTTTCTTGGCCGGTGAACATCAAGGACACAGGGGTGGTTATCAATGAATGCATGTCAAAAGCGTTGACAGTACTCATGCGTTGTCTGCTTGTTTCTGCCCTACGATCCTCTATTGTCTAATGCAGTGGGTCTTATAACCTTTTACTGCAGCCTTGCACCCCATTGGTTCTCAATCGTAAGAAAAAATATGTTAATAAATACATAGGTTTGATTAAACAAATTAGTTGAACTTATGTGCCCGTGCTTAATTTATGTTTTTGATGATTTACCTTTTTAAAAATATCTGGCATTTCTCGCACCCCAAAAAGGGCATCTCGCACCCCAGGTTAAGAACCACTGGTCTATTGTCTAATGACTGCGACACAACTCGATCAACTCGCTCTCACACCGGCCACTGCACACAAGGACTCTTCAGGGAGTGACGAGAATCCAAAATTGCGCCTGTTTATTCA